TTTTTTTTTTTTTTTTTTTTTTTTTTTTTTTTTTTTTTTTTTTTTTTTTTTTTTTTTTTTTTTTTTTGTTGTTGTTGGAATCTTGCTTTAGAGGGCATAAACACGATGGACATTAACCAAAAGAAATCCTCCCTTTGCCACACTTGATCAAGAGGGCACAACACAATGGATATTATCCAAAAGATGAATTTCCCCTCTGCTACACTTGATCTAACCGCTGCTCTCGCTGTTAGAGGGTCAAACTCTCAAGATCCTGTATTCTTGCATTGTTGCACTAAATATTTATTGTGGTGTCTTTTTGGATACCTCCGATGTCTAGTGGTTTGAACTCCCCCCTTCATCCTAGAATGCTCGACTTAACTTTTGCTTGGAGGTCTCGGAAGTCATTCATTTTTGGACTTCCTTTTGGTGTTCCCTTGATAAATTATTTTGTAATCATATTTCATTCTTGATTGTTGCCAATTGTTAGAATTATTTCTAGCCCAATTAGTTTGGATGAGTTTGAGCTCGTCACATTTTCTATATGCAATTTTTTTGAGTGAAGTCCAATCAATTGACATGGTTCTACTTGCTGCAATTGATCGTTCCATGGAGCCCATAAAAGTAAAAGAATCTACTCCGACTTCCTTCCTATAATATGTTAACGTATCCATAAACAGTTCTCAGCTAATAGTTTATTATTACCAAAATTTTCCTGTTATAGAGTTTTCTGAATCTGAAAATTTGAAGTACAATGATCACATTACATTCAGGAAGCCGAGCGAGATTCACCTAAAAAGTGGAGTCCTGTTATGGAGTTGCAGTACAGAGGTGGCGTTTACAGGGGACGCTGCCAAGGAGGGCTCCCCGAAGGGAAGGTATTGTCCCTGACATAGAAGACAAGTGCAAACTTATTTTATACCGATCTTTTTGGCATGCAGCTTTTGACTATATGTACAGGGACGTCTAGTACTTCAAGATGGGAGCATATATGATGGTATGTGGCGCTATGGTATGAGATCAGGTCAAGGTACAGTCTACTTTAACAATGGAGATATGTTTCAAGGATCATGGAGAGATGATGTCATGCATGGAAAGGTTTGTCCGTGTTTTTGTTTGTTTCACTCCAAGTGACCATCTCTAAAAAGCTTTGTTGTGCACAAAATAAAAATTAATTTTATAATAATTACATGAGAAGGATAAACCTTCGAAAGAAAATGATTCTCAGTTCCTAACTCTTAACTCCCAAGGTTCAAGAAACTCCGTTCTTAGTTGGCTCCTTGGAACATTGTTCCATTATTGATATTAAGGAATATGTCAAGTGATGTCATGCAAAGAGTCAATGACATGATGAGCTTATCAATTATCTATAATGAAATCAAAAGGACATTACCACACAACTTGTTCAATCCTATTTTGGTTAGTAGTGTCATTAATACAACAATGATTCGGTACCAAAATCTATTCACCAGACCTTTTAGACTAAAACTGTTTCCTTTTTCCCAGATTGTTATCGTTTTTTTGACCTGAAATACACTTCGAATTATGTGTTGGCAGTGACTTTTCTGTACATGAGCCTTTCATTGAACTGACACAATTCCCATGTGTTATCAGGGCTGGTTTTATTTTCACACAGGGGATCGGTGGTTTGCAAACTTCTGGAAGGGAAAGGCTTATGGAGAAGGTCGCTTCTACTCAAAGTCAGGTGATGTTCTATTTGGTCATTTCCAAGATGGTTGGCGTCATGGCGACTTTCTTTGCATTAATGTTGACGGTTCAAGGTTGGTACTCGCTATTCAGAGCATATACAATAAATTTCCTGTTCTTTCTTGTTTTTTGTTTCCCCTTAATCCTTTGTACGTACATATCAGATACATAGAAGTTTGGAGTGAAGGTTATCTTATGGGACGTGAGAATTTGGAGTCCGGTGCTGATACTCCATAAATAACAAATATTGTCTCTTTTGCGGTCATTGGGTAGTGTTTCACATTGGCAAATCGTCCCAGAAATTGTACATCCTTTATCTTTTGAATTTATTCACTTTGTAGGTTTTGAATTCTTTGGCAGTATCATAGGAATGATGTATAATGTGTATATATTCATTTCCACTTTGCTAAGATTTAAGGATATTATTATGTAGCCATGAACAAAAGAACTTCTGAAGCTGGGTTTTTATGGAAGATGAGACTTTTACTCTTATATTTAATGAGGAACTTACCATTAGTCGATGCCCTGTGAGCCCATTTTGGCAAGTCTTCTTGGTGCATTCCAACTGTATAGAACCTCTTTCTCCACGAGATCTTCCTAGTTTGGACTATTGATATATCAATTGATTGGATTTGGGCTTGATCGACCTTGGGCCCAACCAATTGAACTCGGACTTGGTTGCCCTTGGATCATCTCTCTTTGGAGCTCAATTGAACCTAATGACCAGATACCATGGCCCAATTTGTCCAAATTAGCTTATTCGATTGAACGATCAGAATGTGTCAATTTGTGATAAACCAAAAATTTTCATTCAACTATTTTGTTGTTTTATGTTTAATCAATTAGTTTTGATTTCATTTACAAAATCAACGAAATAAAACATTTGTTTGCGGACATCAATTATATTTCATATCCAAACACATTTATTCCAAGACATTCAACATCCGAAATCATGAGCCATATATATGTGATCCAAACAGACACCTAATGTAATCGAATTAAAATTCTACCAAGGGAGAATATGCAGTCTATTTTATCTAATGGTGCTTACAGGCTTCTGATGTAATCGAATTGAAATTCTACCAAGCGAGCTTCCTAATGATGGTTAGGCTGTGTTCTTCACGTTTTCCAGTTTGGCGATGTACAATGGAATGGCTGGACCTCGAACTATCTTTGAGAAGAAGGTCCACAGAACTCGAAATGTGCAATGCAAAAATGATGGCTCATACTGCACCACTCCGAGTTTGGTGGGATTCAAAAATTCTTTGGAGAATCGCCGATTAAACAATGATCAGATACTGGAACAAGATGAAAAAAAAAATAAAGAATATATTAAAAAAATGAAATTCAAGAATGGTAAATTTGTTTATGAGCTAGAAATGGAGCGATACCTGCAGTTCTGTGGAACTCTCCAAGACGAATTTGATGACACCTTAAGATATGGCGGCATAGACATGTAATGCTTCCAATCCTCGAGCATAATTCTAAGATCATGAAGCTTGTTGTTCATTCCAATACAGCAGTTTGCATGCATGGTTAGTACACGATTCAAGTCTTTGCTGGGTTCGCAGAACCCACCAAAATAAGCAGTATCCAGAAAGATAATCTTTAGTCCAATTTCATGGATGAAAAAATCGTATTTGATCTTATTAAGAACATCCTGATCATGGTATCCCAGATATGTTTCTCGAGATGAATACCAGTACTTGTAAAACTCAATTGACCGATTATTGGATTTCACATAGTTAAACCCTCCATTGGGTCTGTTATCTAAATCATCAGGGATGCCCAGGTAGTGATCACAAGCAATCTGGAAATCTGCATCCATGTCAAAGAAAGGGAACGGATCCCTGAACCACATAACATCAGCATCCTGAAGGAAGAAACAAGAGTAGGGAATTAAAAGAAATACAAAAGGAATACTTAATAAAGTTGTATCTTGATCTGAGTGCTCGATACAGACATGAGAGGAGCATGTGAATTGACATCCTTCAACATACATCAAAATAAGGACTGATATATCCTTGAGGATGATAATCTAATTCTTCAATTTACTCCATCATACATGAAAACAGCTAAATAACAGATCTCAAGCGACAGAAGTTTAAGCAGGCATGTATAGATACCGTATACAGAAGCTTGACTATTGAGACAAAAGGTAAGGGAGACCTAATATGGGAGTTACTGCTGATAGTGGAGGAGGAGAACCACAACTAAGTGGGCAATGGATTTGACCCTAATTCCTTATCTTATATCAACCTATGGAGCAGAGGTGATACTTGATTGATAAAGGAATTTTCCCCTTCAAAAAATCTTCCCCTACAGGAACCACCCAAGAATGCTCTAACAGTGAAGGAGAGAAAAGACATCCAAACCCAAAAACGAGCCATTCGCATCCAGTTAGATACCTGTTCTCCATGTCAAATAGTTATGAAGCACAAACATTTGGTATATGAATTTGTGTAACATGTCCATATACTTTAGACTGAAACACCCTAACATATGTTGGATACCCATAATAAGATTGAAGATCCATACAGGTTGGATGTTCAAATCAGAGTATCACCTGGAAAGACACCTCGATACACGTGCATAATGCGTGTTATAGAGAGAAATGATTGACACCTTCAAGTTCCTCACAAGTAATGTTCGTCTCATCACTTATTTCATTTATATTTCAAATGTAAATAACAAAATTCTCTAGAAAATCTTGCACACAAAAAGATTTAGGACATCTTTGAAAGTAAAATCACTTTTGTCAGGTGTAAGACCACTCCCAAACATTCTCTTCAGGGTTCTCTTAGTATGTTAAGTGTACAACCATATTTCAAAAGAGGTGACCTACCACACTCTCGACATATCGCTTATCAATGTTGTTCTTGACGGTATACCATATATATCAATAAATTATAAAGTACAAAAAAGAAATCTACACAAGGCAAACTGTAAATTGCTTCACTAGTAATATCAAAATAAGACTGAACATAGATCGATTGTCCACCCATCATCGATTTACTAGCATGCTGTTTATCCAACCTACTTGGGCATCGGATTAAAACATATCACTTATCTCAATCTTCCAAGGAAATTTTAAAAAAATGAACTATTGATATAAATAAAAACTAAGGAAACAAACATCTCAAAGGAAAAGGGAGAGAGTATGATACCGTGAACACAAAATTGTACCCCATCTCAAGAACAGTTCGCAGAAAATCAATCCTTCTCCACATCATCTTCAAGTAGTCATGTGACATAAAATATGCCTCTGAATGAAAATCAACTCCTTCAGTAACAAGAGAAAAGCAATGGACATGGATAGCCAAGCAACGAATGAATGCCTTTTTGTCAAATGCAATAATAACCAAATGGTTCAATAGTTGGCGAGTTTGATTCCCAATTCTGAAGCTCTCGAGAAAGAGATCAATTACTGAGTTTGGAGTAGCCCATGCTTCATTTAAAGTAGTTAAAATAACAGTTCTATTTTCTGTTGCAGCATCCTTCAAGGCCTTGCTCAGTTCATACTCATCAGCATCCTATAATCAGCCAAACGTTGCAAAATCAGAGGCAAGTAAGAGTATAATCAGAAGCATAAAACTTCCAATCCAGAGCAGATCAATACTTCAGCATGAGAAAGGGAAGTCATGATCGTTCTGTATTGTTTGAATGTCATCGATGAATTGGTCTTGATAATGAGGGATGTGCTTTGGTAGTGTATTTTTCGGCGCTAAGAAAAATACACTACCAAAGCACATCCCTCATTATCAAGACCAATTCATCGATGACATTCAAACTCACAATTCGAAAGAAAGACGATTACGGAAACTAGATTAATCAACACAAACCAAAAGAACAAAAAGTAAGAAAATAATCAACCAAAATGGCAAAACATGAACAGAAGACGAACAAGGAAACGAGATAACTCACAGCAGAAAGCTCGTCGTCATCAGCGAGGGAGGGGAATAAGGGAAAAGCAGGAGGAGGAGAAGCGGAGAAAGTGGAGAAGGAGAAGAGAGGAAAGTAGCGAAAGGAGTCGAGTTCTCTGAAAATAACAAGACAAGAGAGAGAAATGGCAGTGAAGAGGAGAAGAATCTGAAGGGTACGGCGGAATGAGATGGAGGAATGGTAACTAAACATGGCGGAAACGTAAGAATTAGAAGCAGCGATCATTACAGCGGCGCATCTCCTCCAGAAAACGAACCGACACAAGAGCGCATAGGGATGAAGATTCCGTCCCAATTCCCATTATATTCAAACCAGAGAGCAAGCAACAGCACCATCAACAGTTCATACGAGTACTAGAGAGAGAGATAGAGACAGAGTTGCGTGTGGGAGCCACAGCCAGAGGCACCATTAATGGAAGAAGATCCCATGCTCTAAAACATTTGCAAATTCATTACCATAAACAAACCCACTTTCTGTAATTATATCTCTCTCCATTTGCCGATCAGATCAAAATGCTATCACCTTTCCAATTTTCTCACCAACAGAAAATATATTGTTTGAAACAATTTCAAAGTTGAAGGCTATCGTTTCGAACGAATTTTAAAATTCAAACGCAAAAAACGAAAATCAGGAATATTTTTGTATAATTCTTTCTAAACTTTATGCACCCATATCAATCATGTTTTAAAAATCATTGATTTCAATGAAGTTTCATTGGCCTTAGATGAAAATCATGCACTATTTCATTAATATTTCCTTTCCTCGAATTTCTGGAACACAGAGCCTTAAAATAATAACAATAAACTAAAAACAATTATGAACAAACAAACCACCAAAGATGGTTAAGATCGTTACTAATCCATGCTTTTTTAAGCACATGACACCAAATTTAAGCCAAATTGCAATATAAAAATGAATTTGAAGTTAAAAAAAAGAAGAGGGAAATGGGGGCCGTTTGTAGTCTATATATATACAGCAGACCAGAATAATGACCCAAATATGGTTTCTGGAAATGGCCTTTTGTGGCTTATACAGTTACAGCAGTCAGCAGCAGCAGCAGCAGCAGCAGCATGTTCTTCCTTCACCTTTAAGAAGCCTTCTTTGGGCGGTAGCGTTTGGCACAGACAATGTAGAGCAACGAGTTGAAGAAGCTTAGTGCAGCCAAGAGCCAGAAGAAGAAATCCAGATGGCCTTCATTCAAGTTATCTGGTATCCACCCGGGCTGTCCATTTCTTGTTGTCAAGTAGGTTACAATGGTTAGAATGAAGGAACTGAGGTAATTCCCCAACGCAGTGGTCAACAGAGACAATGCACTGCACAAACTCCTCATGGCATCTGGAGATTGATCATAGAAGAACTCAAGCTGCCCAATGAATGTGAATACTTCTGCTGCACCCAGCAAGAAATATTGTGGTATCTGCCATAGTATGCTCAGCGGTACAGCCTCTGGCTTATGCACCAAATCAAGTTCTCTGGCAAGTTCCAGTCGTTTGATCTCTACCAAGGCTGCAGCTGACATGCATAAAATCGATATGAACAGCCCGATTCCCATTCGCTGTATTTCTGTGAATCCCCTCCCGTTTCCTGTGACTTTTCTTGCCATTGGAACTATGAATCTATCATACACAGGCACCCAGAAAATAACACTTACAACGTCGAAGGTCGAGAGAGAGGCTGGAGGAATGCGGAAAGAACCAATAGTTGTGTCTAGCATTGTCCCTTGTTCTACGAACAATGTCGACATTTGGGCGTACACGGCAGAAAAGACGATTCCAGTAGCCCATATTGGGAACATTCGGATAAGAATCTTGAATTCCTCGACCTGAGTTACTGTGCAAAGCCTCCAGGGATTGGAGAAGTCTCCGCTTTTCAACTCAGCATCAGAGATGACAGCCGCTTTATCAAGGCATCTGCAGCACAAACAAAGTTTACTGTAAATTTCTCCCATGTATAACCACCAAAATTCTGTTTGAAATGACTTTTAAAATGCGTAATATCCTTTTTCAAGTACTTAAAAAGTCATTTCAAACACGCTATGAGTCGTGAATTTTCTCATAATTCAATCATGATCAGGTTTTCACATCATATGTCAAAGTAAAACATCGTTTAATTGCAATGTTTACTACAGTCAAAATGATGTTGTTCATCGCGAAGAAAGGTCTGCACAGACAGTAACATAATTAGTAAGGTTGCTAATTATCCTACCAGACATTCCTATGATCAGGACAGATTCAAAATATGCATAAAATCTACCATGAATCTGTCAAGTATATACATACCACACACATATAACTAATGCATGTAATAGCTACACACCCGATTGTTTCAAGCAGCAAATCTACGAAACGAACTAATGGCGATTACTGCTATCAAAAATATCATTTGAGAAATCCCACTAACAAGTTGCTTGGGAACTGGAAAGAGAATGAAGATTTGGTACTCCCCTAGACATGCTAATATATAAATGTTGAAAGAATAACTGGGCTTTACTGTGTCACCTAATCCATCATTAGCAAATCAAAATTTGACATGAAAAATAAGGAGTTTGCCTTATAAAGGAATAACAATAGATATTTTGGAATGCAGCTACAAGATTATATCTCAGCTAGTGAAAGAAAGTTACTTCAGTTCATTGCTGTGTTCCAGCTTGCGACTTCCTTCAATGGCAGAACTTTTGTCTTGCACCTCATATAGAAGATTACTGTCCCCAGGAATCTTTACATTTCGTTTATGAAAGGAAGCAACCAAAACCTGGCACATTCTCGTAATTGGGCTTCCTCCCGGTTTCTGAAATCTGTAGAGCTTTGTACCAGAGAAGAAACTTACAATAGCAAGGCCCATAAATAATGCAGGGATGCCAAACCCCAGACCCCACCCAGCATTGTCTTGTATCCAAACCAGGAAACTACTTGATATAAGAGCTCCAATGTTGATAGAAAAGTAAAACCAGTTGAAAAACGAGCCCTTTTTAACCCTTTCAGCAGGATCAGTATCATCAAACTGATCTGCTCCAAAGGATGAAACACATGGTTTGATTCCACCTGTCCCAAGGGCAATCAAATAGAGCCCAAGGAAAAATACAATATACTGAGCAGCAGAAGCTGGGGGGCACATAAACCCAACACATTCAGCAGGCTTTAAAGCAGGAACCGATGCAGAGAGAGTTAATGTACACATTCCCTGTAAAGAAAAACCTGCATCTTTAGTCGCACTCTGAAAATATAATATTGAGACTGGCATGCAGGTTTGAAAAGGGTGCATCCTAAGCAACAAAAGAGTGTATTTGATCCACAAATGATATCCCTAAAGTAATTTCCACTAGTCATATTACTTCATACATTGTTTATTGCGCTATGTAAGGCAACCATCTTGGCCACCAATATTCTTAGAATTTAAGCTTAACGTTGCAGGATTTAGCAAGACAGAGAAACAAGAGAATAAGATCGTACTTAAAAATACTTTTTGAAGAAAATGTTAACCAGTTCATTTAAAGGGGCTTAAAGTTCCATAGGAATCTATCTACAAAGAACATCATGACAAAAATCACTATAATACGCAAAGAAAACAAAAATACAGAAATGCCAGGGAAGGGAGGAAGGCATATCCTCTTCAGATGAAACATACAATGAAGTAAATTGTTGAAAAAGTAGCAATTGTCCAATATCTTCCCCAGTATGCATCTGCCAATATAGCTCCAATAAGGGGTGTAAGATAACAAGTTCCTTGCCAAGTAGTGACGTTTCTAGCAGCTGATACATTTCCTTGATGTAGTTTATTTGTAAGATACGTAACAAGGTTAGTTGAAATCCCATAGTAGGCCAATCGCTCACAGCCTTCATTCCCTGTATGAATAAGGGGCTTCAATTGTCAAGTAAAGAATAAAAAAGAAAAGACAGTTTAAATTGTTAAGTCCAAGTTGTGTTACTAATTTATGCTAATCATTCCAAAGCTAAAAAAGGATACCTAGAATGAATGGGCATGCTTTCCAGTTTCCTGTATTTTGCTTGAGAACAGGATTACCATGGAAGTCAACTGAGCTATCGCCTGTATAAAGTCCATTTCTTTCACTCTAAAAGAAGGAAATCAAAATTTAAGCATTTGTAGGTGTTGACCCCGCAGTGTCGCATAGATAATACCATGACCACCCTTATATATAGATATATATATATATATATATTCCTCTAAAAAAACTTATGAAGTACAGACTTAAAAAATGAAGAATACAAGGAGATACAAAAAACTAGCCTCAAACAAAAGGAGTCAAACTAAAACAACAACAGAATCCTGTCAAGCAAAATGATACTTAAAAGGGTAATTACAAAAAGACATAACAACTAAATCCCAAAGAGAGACATGGAACCTACCAAGAGCCCACATTCCCTTCTTGGTTCTCCCTCTCCAACACTCTAAACACTTAATTATTCCTCTTCAACCAAATACCGCATAAGACCGCCCAAATCCCGAACCCTTATATTTTTCTTGTATGAAAAATATTAACATGACGTATGTAATATGACGGGTTAAGAGAAAAATACAAATAAACATCTTTAGAATACATATGTAGTTATAATGTCCATATATTATACATTTATGTATGTCAATCATGCGGTGGACAAGAAACTTGTTAGCATACTCATTCCTTCAGTCCTGGAATGAGCAATTCAAAAACAGTTGATGCTTGTGCCAACATATGAGGAAGTTGACAAGTGTTGTATGTTGTTGAGTTGTACATTCCTTATCCCAAAATCTGAACATCAATATCTACTTATCCCAATCCCTTCCTCCCTTCCCCTTTAACCTAACAATGGCCAATCGGCCACACAAATGGAGACAGCCCTCCTACTTAACCAAGAACGTCATGTTTTAAAACAAAACATCCAGCCTGCTTCGAAGGTACCATCACAAGATAAAACTCAAAGGTCTTTTCGTTAGAGTTTCAATAAACTCAAGTAAAGGGTGTGCCTATACTAGCACAATTCGCATGTCGTGTTCATACGGATCTCACATATGAGTAACCACCCAAATTATGTATGGCAAATCAATCACAGGGAAAAGAAGCCTTCATCCGAGAGGGAAGAAGAAAGAAGCAGGAGGAAAACAAATGGTCATCAGCCTTCACATACCCAATTCCAAATAAATTAAACACTTCAATATTATGAAGACTTGGCTGTATATGACAAAATAAACGGCTTCAACAATGCTCATCGTTAGGAAGAACATTAATCCCAAAACTATGAACATCAATTTCAGACCCATTGAGCTAACCAGAATTATTTGTTTGACTTTTTCTTAGCAAGCATCACGAAGGACATCAAGTGCTCAAATTGTCTAATTACGTAAACAATTAATTCGCTAACAGGTTATCCATGTTCATTTCATATATCTTCAAGATCTTCGTCTTAAGAATCTAACGAACAGGGGAAAGAAACATCAAATCACGAATGCAAATTATATATATG